GATGCGTGGATGCATATTGGTCCCGGTTGGTGCCACAAACCGGGACAAAAGGGCCTCCTGCCTGGGCTCGCCGCACCGGTCACGTGGAGGCCCATCTGCCCCGGTTTATGCAAGAACCGGGACTAAAGGTATAGGGCATTAGTACTGACACTTTAGTCCCGGTTCAAAAACCCGGGACTAATGGCCCTTACGAACCGGGACTATAGGTCCTTTTTCTACTAGTGTCCCCATGGAAACATTTTATCTTGCTATCGACCTCGATTCCACAATGCTCAATGTCTTGAATCTCCATTGGAATATCCCCGAACACAAGATCTAGGTACTCAGCATCCTACAAATTAGGATAGAAAATTCTCAAAAACATCCTCAAACCCTAGTTCCTAAATCGGGCATGCTAAAAATCAAGACGGGCATGGACAATCTTACCATGTCTGCATCTGCATGGTCGTCCTCGGCCGGGGGCGGCCAAAACATGCTCGCCTTATCACTGGAACCCATGGGCTGCATGTGCATCGCCGCCGCCAACCACGCTGCACTGCCGCGCTAGATAGCTGCACCACAGAGAGCTAATGAGGGGGATTTGTGAGAGGTACGCACTAGGTGAGGGGGATTTGTGCGCCGCCGCGTCGGATCCCTAACCTCAGCTACCGCCGGCGAGCCTCCGGTGCGTCTGCAACCTGCTGTCCTTGCCGCCGTCGCCGCTTGGGAGAGGGAGAGTGGGGAAAACGCGAGAGAGACAGAGTGAGGGAGAGGGCCGGCTGTTTTGTGGGGTCACGTTGCCACGTCGGCGTGGACTAGTCAAAACCATGCCTAGTCAGCACCAATACTGGGTCAGCCGAGAGAATGGACGATTTTTGTCTGGTCTGGAAAGTTCGCGGTGCAACCTATCCGGTTTCGTAGTTGAGGGACCAACAGTGATCACTCCGAAGAATTGAGGGACAAAAAATGGACTTTTCTCTTTAAAGTACGTGTCAAATTCAAATCCAATTTGTGTTGGGAAAACCGCAAAGAATATTGCTGCTCTTGGATTTAATACGAGTAATTAATATGATCTCTGCATACCCAAAAAACTATCCTTGTAACATGAGCTATCTGAATATGCAAGTTTCCATATACACCACAGTCATGCATGATCCCACGTCTGAATGATTAAAACACATATATGTTTTGATCATATACTAGAAAACAAAATCCGCAGTGCACGCACGCCCTGCGTAGGCGGCTAATGTGTCATGTGGGAAGCTTACTTGGCAGAAGATAATTAAGCCAATTTTTCATGGGTGTCAAAGCTGAAGGGGTCAAAAGCTTAAATCAGTAAGCCCATCTGTTTGTTCTTGCAGAGGTCGGACATATCATCTCATCTGTGTGTGCCAAATAGCTGAAGGAGTCAAGCTTGAGGGGAGGCTCTCCAAGTCAATGAGATCACAATTGTTTCACACGAATCCAGCAAGCTAGATAGAAGTAGATTAAGCACAGGAAAACGGAGATGAAAGAAGTAATCGGGGAGCAGACAGTGCCACGTTGGCGTATCCCGAAATTTGAATTCTTGTGGCGATTCTAATCTCCACCGTAGAGGGCCATGGCCAACAAAGTTCACACGGTTACAAAGACACAACCTTCAATGTGAGCTTTTGGCCACAAAATGTTTGCCCTTGCACTGAGGATAGACCTTGAGGCAGGCCGTTTCTGTCCTTTACAAACCTTCCCAGAGTGTCCGCAGTTCTGCAATTTCTGGAGCATGCATCTACCTCACAATCTCAAGAATGACAATTTTCGCGAAGAACTCAGGGGAATCGAATCTCTCTCGGGTGGAATCGTAGATATAGGTCTCCTCTTCCCTCTAACTCGCTTGCATGTAAGATTGGTGGGGTTTAATCGCAGGATCATTCGTTGCCCGACGGAAGGGGATGGCGTCCACGAGCGACACAAATGGTGATGGGCCCGACGAGAGAAGGCCGGTATCCTTGACCGCTGACCTCATAGCGCGCACGCTCTCATTCGCTGACGGCGTGCTCACACTATGACAGGATGCTCTCCGTCTCATCCTCTCGGACACACAGGGATCACGATCGACGCGCGGTTCCTCCGACCAGCGAAAGACATTGACGTCGGGATGGTGTTTCCTTCCCGTGTCACTTCGCGAAGATACGAGATCGGCTCCCGGCGATGAGCTCTGCTCCGGCGGATGCGTCGCGTGGCGTGGGACGCGGCGATGCGGTACACGGGGAGGGCGCAGGCCTGCGTGCACACACCACGTGGAGGCAAATC